TTGGGCAAGCAGAGATTGTAAAGAGGGCATGCCGTATTCTTGCAAGCACCTCTTAGAATACAGAAGATGCTGTATCCTGGTTTTACCACTCCATTGCAGCTGGGTGACGGCCAGAAAAGAACTTTAAATGTGACCACAATGGTATACCAGCTGGTATTATAGCGTAGCTTGCTGGTCCAAAAGATCTCAAAAGCTGGTGCTCAGCATGTCTTAGCCGCCTTAGGGCCATTTCAAAATGTCCTTATCCATGCAGGCCTTTGACCGATCTCCTTCCAAGTTCTTCTCCCAGATTTTTCTTGTGCTAAAGCACCAGCTTCTCTCCGCAGTTTTTCATGGTCCGAGCCTTCAACCTCAGCCTAGTGAAGCCGGATGAAGCCAACGAACTTGTAGACCAGACTTTGTCTCTGAACTTATAACTGAGCATAACAGGGCATATCATTATTATGTATACAATGCAATTGCTAAAGATGTGTTCAAGATCCAAGGCAGTTAATTACTTCCTCCAGACCCAGAGTCTGGGCGAAACTCGACTTCCGAGGCAGACTTCGATGAGCTTTGGGACTCCATGATGGACGACGCGGCGGGAGCGCGACGAACGCGCGGGGGGGCAGCGCGCGGCGTCACGCGGCCGCAGACCCGTGGACCTGCAGAGAAACCTGGATTCCACCCTTTGATTCCTGAAGGAACTGAAATCCTAAACTTATATACTTGTCTCATGTGAATCATGTGAATATATCGTAAAATCCCTATAGAAACATGGAGATGCAATGAACACCGGGTTTGAGAAATTTAGCTCGTGAGCAATCCTATGTATGCAGCTATCACAAGCTGGTGCCTGAAATGCTTCCTGGCTCCTTAATAGAGAGTGGAAACCCCAAGATAGTGTGGATGTAGATCTTGAAGCGTTCCTATCGTCCCGAAATCAGCCAGGGGTTGCTCAAGACAGACTTCTTCGCCAGACTCGTATTCTGCAAAATGTTTGCTTGGGTATGTGTTCACTGTTTGTGTGGTTTTCTTCCTTGGGGTGAATCTAAGTGGTATTTCAATGCAGTTCAATGTATTTCATAGTACCTTCCATGCCATGGTCACGCTTCTCTGGAAACAATCACTGAGAAATTGGGTCACTTGGTCCGCCGGACCCTCCCAACGCCGCAGGTCTCTCCCAAAGCGGATGTGGCCAATGGTGCGTGAGACGAAAAAGCCCGGCAGAAAGCGCCGATTTCAGCGACCGCCGATGGATTCCCAGTTGATGGTTGATGCGATGGGGTGCGAATATAGCACAGGTCTTTGTATGTGGTCTCCTTTGTTGGGGTTTCCGGAGCTATACTAATCCCATGAAATCGGTATACTCAGGGACACTCAGGGACACTCAGGGCCGTCTCCACCTGACTCGTCTTAGCCAACCGGCGCCAAGCCCCAGTCTTCCGAAGCAGGACACCAATCAAGCCAGCCAGGGCGGTTCTATGTTGCGGTGATGGTTTAGATTATGTTTATAGATGGTTTACAACCTGTTCTTGCCGAGCACCCATCCGATGGTCCTCCCATCTGCTAAGGGGGCGGGAACAGCCTTGCTCCGTCTGTTGAGAATCAAACAAGGGCGCGCACGGCGTGCGGTGGACGGCTGCAACGACCGGATGGCGTCTCGCGGCCTGGCCGCGACGGAGTGGTTACGCCGATCCATTGGGCAGCCCCAGCCGTGCCAGGCTTCTGTTGCTTGGGCATCCTCTTGGCGTGTGACGAGGACTTCGACTAGGCTTCCGACTCGCAGACTTCGGTGGCGGTCCAGTGGAGGTCCACGAAGGGGTGCCGATCGTAGGTGGTCGAAGTGTTGACTGAAATCGGTGTTAGGGGAAGGGATGTATGCTTTCTCCATGCGGCGTGAAACACGTTGCAAGTAGTTTGATTGCTCTGCCGGTTCAGAGGATGGGTCTAGTGTGGCCTCAGAATGGTCCCTTGAAGCCCTGGACTGGTCTCCGTGTGAAACGGAGGTGGTCTGTAGAGTGCCCACCTCCCACCCTCGCGACCTCCGGTGTTTTCCGACCCTTAATTAGATAATATCTAGAGCGACCTCACCCGACGTCACTTTGGAATTACGACCTAAACTTCTGAAATAAGGGCTGAGCTGTTCCCACCTGAAATTAAGTTATAGTTATGGTCACACTAACATCACACACACACACGCACACGCAAAACACACACACACACACTTCATCGACTTCACACTCCTGGCAGAGATTTTGGAGGCGCGGGCGGACGTGGGTAGGGACTGGAAGTCATGCCTCACCTGCTCACTCTCCACACCACTGAAAACACAACCCAAGTTCGAGGTCAGGAAGTTTTGAAGTTCTTTTAGTTGTGCACCATGAAGCGGCCCTCTAGCCATGATGAGTGCCCAACAACACCTACGGACCGCATTCGGCCAAGAATGTTCCCAAGCCCCAAAGCCTCTCAGAGACGACAGGGTCCTTCCTATGGAAAAAACAAACACCCCAGCAGATGGGGGAAAATGCGGCTATCTGCAGCAGATAGGCCTTCTGCAGTGTGTTGATGACTGCAGCCCCCCACTCCAGCAGACGGACAAATCGCGCCTATCTGCTGCAGATAGGGCTTTTGCTGTGTTCATTGCAGACAACCCCACTCCAACACAACAGAAAGCAGAACGCGCCTATCTGCAGCAGATAGGGCTTTTGCTGTGTTCATTGCAGACCACCCCACTCCAACACAACAGAAAGCAGAACGCGCCTATCTGCAGCAGATAGGTCTTTTGCTGTGTTCATTGCAGACCACCCCACCCCAACACAACAGAAAGCAGAACGCGCCTATCTGCAGCAGATAGGGCTTTTGCTGTGTTCATTGCAGACCACCCCACTCCAACACAGCAGAAAGCAGAGCGCGCCTATCTGCTGCAGATAGGGCTTTCGCGTTTTCATTTCAAGAGGTGCAGTAAAGAGTACTTCAAGAGCAAGCGGCTGCTGCAAACCAGAGGTTCCATAGCCTAATGGATAAGGCGCCTGCCTCTCAATCACAGGTCTGAGGCTCCTTTCCTACACGCCTCTCTGATGCAGGCTCGCTTTCTGCTGTATTTTTTAAAGCGGGAGGAGAGACGCGCCTATCTGCAGCGGCCTTTGCTGTTTTGATCAAAGACGCCTATCTGCAGCAGATAGGGCTTCTACTGTCTTTTGATGAAAGGCAACCCCATCCACTCCAG